GTCTCTTCCATCTACAGCTTCAGTATAGCATACTAGTATACATAGTATAGTATAGCATAGTATAGTATAGCAGCTGATGCTCAGCTGCTGACAAACTGCCACGAGGAGGAAATGCTGTGTGTGTGGCAGTACAACTGTGGGGCATTGGTGTCTTCCAATGAATCAAACCCTAAAAGCTGCCAGGCAGCCTCGGTGCCAATTCAGGTGTTCTCTGTTTCTTACAATAACCCAAAAGCTGCAGAAGGAGGCTGGAAAAACTTCTATTTTTTTTTTTTTTTCTTTAAAAAGGAAAGATTGAAACATGACTCAATGCTCCGTGGTATGAAGTCACCACTCTCTCTGTTATTCACTCCCATTATCTCTTTGCAATCTGTTCCCAACGGGGCTTCCGGGCAACCAGCTGCTGACCCCTGTGTAAAAGTTATTAAAACAATAATAATAATAATAAAAATTGCAGTATAGAGGGAGGGAGCAGCGGGGTAGAAGTCTGGTGGTGGATGAACACCCTTCCTTTGTGCAGAAATTAAAACAATGCAGCATTGTGCAGGGGAAGGATGGGGATAGGAGGGCTCTGCAGACACCTGCCCCAAACAGAGCTGCAATGGAAACTGCCCTGTTGTAATTCACAAATATGGGCTGAAAGGTAATAGCTCAGTGCTGGGATTGTTTTACAGCCACGCCAGGCGAGCTCCACTCAGACAGAAGCCCTTCTACTGTAATCACTGAAAGAAAATGGATTTCCTGTCTATCTGCTTACAAGTGCTGCACGGATCCAGTGTTCAATCCGGTCTCTAACACAGACATATAGTATTTCTTGAAGGGGCAGTGCACCATCCCCAGGGGAAGGGGATTACCCAAAATACAAGATAGTGGCTGATGAAACTCAATAGGAGCACTGCTAGAGGAGGGGAAGAATACAGAATGACAGAAAAAATGGTGTGTCTGCTCCATAAGCTGCCCTGATCCACTGTGTGTACTGGGCTCCCTGCATAGGGAATTGGGCTGGATGCAGAATCTGGAAGCTTTGCTCATGTACATTATGACCCACTCAATGTCTCTGACTGTAAAGTGATTACTATTATGATTTGTGAGTTTTCCAGACAGTGCAAACAAAGGCTTTGGTTTTTTAGTCACATAGGGGCTGTGAGGTGAGGTTTAAGGGCTCTGCTCATCATCTCTGATGAGGGGAACTGGAGGAGAATCCCATTCTTGCACGGCTGCTGGGCATCCCACGTGTGTTTGGGGTCAGCATGAAGTCTCTGTGTCCCAAGTGGGAGGCAGTGAGTCACTTTTTGGGGGCTGGCAGGGATGTGAAGGACTGCTGGAAGCTGTTGGGAGTGCAGGAGTGGGGAGAGGGGACAGAGTGCTTTGGGTGCCAATAGCAGCGTGGCAAAGGGGGTTGGGAGGAGCTCTGGCCACTCCAAAGACCTCTGCTTTCATGCTGATAATGGTGATTTTCTCCTCAAAGAACACTTTGCTGTTGAATGTGAGATCTTTGTTTCCATTGCTCTTCTCATGAAGGTGAGCACAGTGCTCACAGCCTAAGTGAGGGCTTTAGATGTCACCAGCCCAATGCATTCAGATGCTCAGTGGCACTCAGGGACATGGGTCAGAGTGCATGGTGGTGGCAATGAGTTGATGGTTGGCCTTGATGATGTCAGTGGTTTTTCCCAACCTTAACAACTCTATACTGTGGAAATGTTGTGCTACATGAGACTGGGCAGCTCTAGAGATGTATAAGAAGTAGTTGATCTTGCAGGGCTTGCGTTCAGACCAGATATTTCTGTGTTAAATGCTCAGACCTCTGATGCTTCTGTCCCAGCTCTCTGGCCTGATGCTGATGTTTCCAGCTGAGTGTTTCTGCAGCCTCCCCAGAAACGTGGTTCTCTGCCATCTGGTGTGTGTTAACCTTTGCACTCCTTAGCAAAACATTAGGCTTTGCTGGTCATATGATAAGGTGTATCCAGTGAAGAAAGAGAAATGGCAAGCTAGGTTTTTTACATTACATTGATGGAGATTGTTGCTCGTACAGTGCAGCAGCATCTCAGCAGAGGTTAATGCCATGGTGTGATTCCTCCATACCCAGAAAGTAATGGATTTAAATGGTAAGATAAGTGAAAAACATAAAATGAATGCAAGAAGCCGAGCTCAAGACTTGGCCTCAAGGGGTGGGAGGAAAGAGCTTCTAAATCCAAAAGAATCCACGCAATTGCTGTTGTGATTGGTAAGAAGGAGATGCCAACTATGAGAGCTGCAGGGCGATGCTCACATGGCTCTACAACTACACATCCATACATCTATATACATAAAGTCATATAAACCCCCTGCAAGGAGCCCCTTGGAGGAGTTGGAGAAGACATCACAGCTTTTTTGCATGACAAACAGCCAATTCAAACACCTTTGCTGCTGTGCTGCACGCCTCTTCTCCCCACATCTTTTGCCTTTTGTGCTGTCAGGGAGAAGTCCAAGCAGGTGGTTTAAGAAAACATTAGCAAGGATATGTCATAGCCTTGCAAAAGTGTTTGAAGGGAAACGGAGCTGTTGCTTCCAATTTTTCACTTTGCTGCCTCCATGATGAAATACAGCCATCTCCACTTAAGTAATACCTTATGGAAAAGGAAGTGTCGTGTTTTTATTGGACGCCTTTTATGACTGGCCTCGGTGAAAAGTGCAGTTGTGAGCAAGTCTGCGCTCCTCCAGCCTTTCACCAGCTTGTAATCCCACAGAGGAGGGCTCCTTCCAGGCAGCCAGATTTGCAGCAGTGGGAGGTGTGGGGCAGGGAGAGCTGCTCCACGTACTGCAGTGATTTCCAAAGGCTGATGCCACTGTTTGCACTCTGAGAGCATTTCACTTGGTCGAGTTTCCACCGAGGCTGGGCTGCTCTTTGGATGCAACCAAGTTCACATCTAGCTGCAATGCCCTGCAGGGCTTCACAGGGATGTGATAAACCAGGAGGAATTTCCCCACCAAGGTTCTAACTCTTGGGCAGCTGCTCAGCTCACAGCAGTGAGTTTGGGATGTGTGGGAAGGATGGGAGCTTGCGTAGGGTCCTGCCTGCTGGAGGGCTGTTGGGTGGGTGTGCAAAATGCTTGGAGGGTGTTGTTTAAAATGCAATTGTTTCAGTCCATCAGTGACCAATAGAAATAGGTTTTTTGTGTGTGTGTGTTTTTTTTCTTTCTTTTTTTTCCAATTCAAAACAAAAATAACCAATGCTGTCACTCCCTGGCTGCTGCTTTGCTGCTTCTGGTGATAACGTGCGAGAGTTTATTCTGTCTGCCTCAAATGCCAAAGCATTTGGAGTGTTTAAAGATGACCTTTATTGCTCAGTTCTGAGAGCCCTTGGAGGGTTACCAGCTGATGCCAGCACGAAAGCTGCTATGAAGATCATCATTTGATAGCACAGTCACCTCATTGCAGGGCACAGCCAGGATCGGCTCTGCTGACTGCTAATTACTACTAGCTGCAAATCTACTTAATGACAACAGTGACTCTTGTAAAGCTTCCCTGACACACCTGGTTGAATGGTGCACTGCATCATTTCCTTGGGAAAACTGTAATGTCTGACACTATTTTGACCTGAAAGGATTTGGTGGTCAGAGGCTTTGATGCCCCATTGCAAAGCAGCTGGGTTGCAGATGAGCAGATGGTTCGGGGTGAGAGCTGCCCAACACAGCACAAGATCTGGGTTGTAGTTATGGGTCAGTACCCAGAGAGACCCCACTGAGTCACTCCTGTGAGAATTAGGTTGCTATACACTTCTGTTAGCAGCTACCACGAAAGGGAAGATTTATTATTATTGAGTAATGACTCTTTCTGGACCAGGAGCTGCTGCTGGTTTGTTGGTCACCAAGAGCCTCCAAGTTTTCATCCCCAAATAAGCAGCTCACAAACTTCCAGATCCCAATGAGTGTTGCATGAAATTGGATTAAGAGCTCATAAGGAAAAGAGGAACTCAATTCCAGCCCTGTGTGCCCACAGAATGGATCAGGTGTTGGGATAATATTGGAGTCATCCACTAAAACAGCTCTTTGATAATTTGTTTTCATCATGCAGATACGCAGTTTTACATCCAGCATATCTGCAGACCAGGTTAAAACCTAACAAGAATGCATTGCAGTGAGGTGGAACGAAGATGTTCCAAACATGCCATAGCTGCAAATAATGGTTACCTTTCAAGTATCTGAGAATACTGAAACTTGTGTTTAATAGCCATTCTACGTGATGCCAGTGTAGAGTTCTGTTTGAAATATGGTAAAGTTGCATTAGAATACATTAAACAAAAGGACACAAGATAAGGGAACAGGCACTATGCTTTCCTAAAACATAATCATTAGCTATATTACAGGTTTGGGTTGAAAGAGGACCAGTGTGCAAGGGAAGGAGTGTTCAGGTCTGGCTGCTGTGGTCATCCTATGCTAGAAAACTGCTTTTATGCACTTCTTAAGCTTTGAAATTGGCTTTAAAGTGTCCTGGGATTCAGTCAGACCCTTCCAGAGATGGAGATGATGACATATGGAAGCAAACCAGAATGGAAGGATAAAGATGAGGCATGGGCTGTTTGGTAAGGGCTGCTTTGAGTGTGGATGTGAGGAGAAAATTGTTCTCAGGAAGAGAGGTTGGCTATTGGCACAGCTGCCCAGGGGGTGAGGTGCTCCCATCCCTGGAGGTGCTCCTCCCCATGTGGGGATGTGGCACTTGGGGACATGGTCAGTGGGCACGGAGGGATGGGTTGGGGTTGGACTTGGGGATCTGAGAGGTCTATTCCAACCTCAGTGATTCTCAGAGCCCAAGTCCAAGTGAAGGATGAGCAAAAGCGACCAGGGAAAGGCTGGAGGTGAACAGAGCTGTATAATCACCCTCTGGCCTCTTTCTAGCTGATAATTCACATTTTCTGAGCATTTGGGAGCCTGAACAATATTATTCCTGGTGTACATACAGTGGTTTTTATCTTTTTCTTTTTGGGCTCCTTTTTGTGAAGGTAGCCCTATGGCAGTAAGAGAGTTCCATTCACACAAAGCTCAAAGTCCTGCTCTCCATTGCCTTATTTTGTGCTTTCCATTTTCCTCCGCCAGCTCTGGCACTGCACACCTCTCAGTCTGTGCCCCACAGGGCCACCAAACGGGGCTGCAGTGTCCTTCTGCAGTGTCACACCCTCTCCAAGCATCTCTTTATGGCACTACTCAGAGCTGGGGGATGTGGTGGAATCAGCATCCTCTGCATCAGGCTCGGGGGGGGACACCGGTTGCCCACCCTTAACGCGTTTCCACTTCATCCTTCTGTTCTGGAACCACACTTTGACCTGGAGGATGAAAAGGACATAACGAGTTATTGCCTCCAGCAGGCTGATACCTGTGTGTCAATAGATGTATTTTGTGGAATTCTAGAGGAAAAAAAAAACAGAAGGAAAGCTCCCAGGTTTAAGTGCTCCCTATCCAGTGAAGGTGCTCCAGGCAGATTTTCAGAGACCAGCAAGGGTAGCACAGTGCTTTGCCTGGAATCCATCAGGTATACATGGCAATCCAACAGGCACAGTGCACCCAAATGCCATCTGACAACCACTCCATCCAGTCTGATCCGTCAGGATGTTTAATTGGCTTCACTTAACTGAGCAATTCCTACTCTACCCACTGAACTTTGATAAGGAAACTCTGAATGAGGTCACAGTGAGAGGACAAATTTTTGCCCCCAGAAAACTCCATAAAAGTGTTTTTTTCTTCCCTCATCACCACACAAAGCTGCCTGGCCCAGGAATAGCACGTGTATCAAATGTGTCATTCCAATAACCTCATGATAACTGGAGGCTGGTAGCATCCAGATTCTATCTATAAGCTTTGTACAAATGGCTCAGGAGGTGTCCCAGATGGCTTTTTTTTGTTTGTTTAGAGAAGCAGAATTCCAGATATTAACTGCTTACAGAGATTTTTTGCAAATGTCTTTTAAAAGAATGTGGAGGTTTCATGTTGAAATCAGAGAATCGAGAGGTTGGAAAAGACCACTAAGATCATCGATTCCAACCAACCCAACACTGCCGTGCCCTCAGAACAATATCCTGCAGAGTGACAGACCTCTGTGCCATTGCAGAAGCACAGCCTGGAGTATTACAGTGTTAGGGAGAAACAACAGGGGATGGGGTTTGAGTACCTGTCTCTCAGTGAGGTCCAAGTTCACGGCGATCTCGTATCTCCTGAGCCTTGTCAGGTAATTGTGATGGGCAAATTCTGCCTCCAGCTCCCTCAGCTGCTCCTTGGTGAATGCTGTCCTCTCCTTCCGTGACCTGCTGCTGCCTTCTGCCTTGCTGCTGCAGGGCTGGCTTTCTAAGAGGCAAGCAGGCGTGCAATTTGCAGTTACACTGACCTGTGTGAGTGTGTGCCCTACAGAGATGTCAAAGCGTGTTGTGTCCCCTTGGGCTCAGCACTGTCAGCCTTTGCTTCGAGGGGTGAAGTTGGGATGGGGTGCATCACTTGAACTGCAGGAGGAAGGGCCGAAGTGAGCAGCAGGAGGAAGGAAGCTCTCACTGCATCCACTCAGCACTCTTGATAGTTTCCTTCCCTGTGCCTTTCACTCCATGCATGCACATTGCTGCTCCCCTGATTTTGGCTGCAAACTGAAGGCAAAGGGAGCATTTTGCTGTGAGCACAGTTTGTGATGCAGTATGAGTGCATGGTGCAGGGGGAAAGGAAGGCTGCTGAGTGAGCACGCTAGGCTAGCATTTAGCCTGGGTACATTGGGAGGGGGGAGAACATGGGAAAATGAGCAATGCTGGGGAAGTGGCATTCCCTGACTCAGCACTCAGTTCTGAAGGCGTTCAGCTGCTTCTAAGCTGAGCAGAAACCATTGGGCAAATGGCACTGAGGGTGTCACTCCTCTTCATCTCCAAACAATGTGAATCATCTGAAATAGGCTCTGGGAACAGAGCAGGCAGTGCCCCACTTGGTGTTGTTAGGGGATGTGTGGCGCACAGGCTTACAGTTAGCTGGCAAACTGCCTTAGGGAAGATGCAAGGACCACACAGTGCAGGATTTGGGCATTGCAGAGGGGGGCTGCTATCCCTCAGAGCAGCTTAAGCTCAAGCATGGGGGTCACCAATAGTAACGCAGGATGTTTGGTCACTGCAGTGATCCACAGGCCTGGTGGAGGCACCTGGTGTTTGCTATTCTGCAAACCACTGTCAGTGCAGCTTTTCCCTCAGCAGAAGGTGTAATAAAAATCTGAAGTATCTGCATACTGTTGCTTTCTCCCAGTAACGAAGAGTTTGAGGGCAGATTTATTGCAAATCAAGTAGTAAGATGGATTTTGCTGTCACACGGGGCGTAAAATCCTGAAAGCTCTGGGGAACGTTGGCCAAGTGAAGTGACTTCATGGGGAGCTGATTCGTTTGGCAGCCGACGACAAAGTAATAACCAGAAGTAACTTCAGTGGGCACCTCATGGAGTGGAGCACTCGGGGTGGTGACAGATGGAGCTCTGCCCCCAGATCACTTTAAATTGCTGAGGGACTTCCCTGTGCTTTTCTTGCTCAGGTTTTCAGTTGCTACCTGCCTTTATGTGCTGCTGTTTATGCCATTGTGGCTGTTAATGGGACTTGCAAGCATGGAGCACCCATGCATCCAATGTCATGACTGAGCAAAATTGTCTGAATCACTATTTTATTATATATAATTACATATTTCTATTCTATTTCTTGCTGCCTTATCCTTCAGCTCATGCCTTATCTTCAGCTATATGTATGGATGAAGTTGGGGTATCCAAACTGCCCATCTCAAGTTGGCCATTCTCAACAACATTCAATGTAAAATCGGAGAGAGGTGTTTCTTGAGGCTCAACCTCCACCCAGTGGGCATCCCAAAACTTTCAGTGCTTATCTTATGGTTCTAAAGGCTGATTTGATTTAGGGTTGTGGGTTGGAGTTTCCTTACTGCTTGAGCGGTGTTGCTAGGTCTTCACTTGGTAGTAAATGAAAGATGTATTAAACCCAAAGTCATTACAACACCTTCCAGCCTCTTTAATGCTGTAATTACAAAGAGCTTTTTATAAATGGTTTGCTAAACTGTGCAGCATCGAATAGAGGGGTGAATACTGATGGCTGTGGCCCCCGAGGCTCCCCCAGAATCAACTGACATCTCCAGCTCACTGCTGTGCCTGGGACACCAGGGCTGAAAATGGCATCTAAATAATGGATGCTGGTAGAGGAAGAGAAAGGGATGTGTGTGCTCACACGTGAGGTCTTACAGCAGATACCCCCATTGCTATCCCAAAGCAAAGCCTTTCTGTAGCTGCTCTGAACCTATCAGTGCTTTAAAGAAAGTTTTAAGGATTTAAGAGCATTTTGATCTTTTCTACATCTGAGAAACATTTCCATGTCTTGGCTTTCAAACCGTAAAGTGGGGATGCTGGAAAATACCCCCTGCTTCTCAACATACTGCGGTTTGCAAATGAATACTGTAGCAAATATATGCATGTATGCATCTGAATCTTAACAGCTTCTCTAGGAGAATGCACTGTTATGCATTTTTCACATATCTGGAGAATTGAAATAGTAACAAACCAGATGTCATCTGTCTGAAATTCTTGAACGCTGTGCTGCAGGAAGAAGGTGGTTTGTTGGCAAGGATGGCACAATGAAAACTGTGATTGTTTTCCACCTTGCTGGGCATTGTGCTGGTGGGCAGTTCCAAACCTCAGGGTGGCATTCCCAGCTAACATGGGCAGCTGGTGGGATCTCAGCCCTTTGATCCCCATTCTGTCACCCTTGGACAGCAGCAGTGGAGTGGAACTACCATCCTAGGGCTCTGAGCACAGCATGGCACTGAGTTGGCACCCTGCTTCTGCCTAAAGGGACGGGTTCAGCTAATAAGGAACAAAACCCAAACGCCAAAGGTCATCAAAGGACAAGCAACTTCATTTCCATTGAGATACTGTATAGCTTTCCTCAGTCAAGAATTACAAAATATTTTCCCCATCCATCCATCCATCCATCCATCCATCCATCCATCCATCCATCCATCCATC